TCTAAAAGATACTCTTTGCCCCTAAGCATAGGCATCCTTTGGGACACTACTGTTTATTCCTGTTAAATTATCACCAAAAGATAGAGAATTATTGTTGCAAAGAAGAGGAAAATATTCTGACTTTGAAAGATGGCAACAGAATTTTCCTCTTCGGTTAGAAGACTTGATAAAGCTGACAGGGTATAGCAGGCAAGTTCTATTTCATTTGATGCGGTCTACCTCCTGCTCCAAACTCACCAGAAAGAGATTTCAGCCCAGTTTTATAGTAGTGTTATATTTAATCGACTCCCTGACACAGCCTTAATGCTTGAAGCACTGAGACTCAAAATACTGAATCTTAACATTAAATTAGCTACTACACGGTTCTCAAACTATGCTCTCGTGACTGGTGACTCAGAAATCTTCTCAGGGACTCTAAAGAATAATTTTTTTTTCAAATTAAACAGTAGTGAACAAGGAGCTATTAAGGACAGTGTGCCGGGGAAGGATCTTCTGCGGTCACCTCGTCACTCAGAAAGGAAACATTATACAAGCACTGCATTTTTAAATATATATGATACGTGCTAGCGCTCACTGGTTTAATAAACACTTTGTTACCTCTAAAATGGTGCTAAACTACTGCAGTGCTAGCAAGAGAGCTTCTAGGTCTAGAAATTTTGTCAGGAGCATCTGGCTGCTCACAGTTAGTGAGCTCCCATCCTGGGATTTCGCAGCCGCCGTGTACGGGATGTGTTGATAGCAGACACCGTGATGCCAGGCAGCATTTTTCCATCTGATTGTGTCTGGCTCTGCTTTTCTTTTCCTTGTGCTCTCCTTGCTAAGTAGAAATACTGTTTCGAAATATTTCAAATAGTTGTGTGAACATCACGAAGAGACATCTGAGGCGTTAACAAATCATTCATATTGTATAGAATCTGTGTTTACAAATTATTGTACTTTGTTCTACTACGCTGTACATCACTTTATGGCCATGCATGAGGCACATGCTTCATACTAAAGCAAACATAAATGGGTTTGAGCTGAAAACCGATATTTGTAAGGAAAAGGATTTGTAATGTGATTTATGTAAATGAAAACCAAAACAAAACACCACTGTTATGTACTATAAATGACTCCTTTGTCTTCTACAAATTTTAATTTGTTTACATGCCCTGCAGCCATACTGAGAGAACGGAATAAATGGCAACTCCTCTTTGGGCCTATTTGGGGAAAAAAAAAAAAAAAAAAAAAAAAAGTCAGGCAAGGAAAGATGAGAGTGGCCAGAGGGTTATGAGAAGGAAGAGATGAGTGCTCAGATAAAAAGCAGCCCAAGGGAAGATTACAAGTTCTCAGAAAAACAGATCAATAATGATGGTAACTATGCAGCTGCAAATGCAACTATTTGCATTTTGAAAACATTTTTCCCTACTACTTCACTATGCCCAGGGTACGTAGAACACTCTCTGCAATAGATAAATCACCTTTGAAAGGGCAGTATTGTAATGAAAAGTCAAGGTCCTGAGGATGCTGCTGCATTTTTCAGAATAGGACTACAAGAAGCACCAGCTTACCTTCCCCTCCTATTGCTTGCTCAGTAAGATGCAAGGATCTGAGACTGATTTAATTTACAAGTAACTCTCAAACAACTTTCCACTGATTTTGTCTCCTCCCTTTTCCCTTTTACCTCCCTAGACCTTTCACCCTTTGGTTCCCTTGGGAAAACCATGACGAATTTCCACCTGGAAATCTCAGTCTCAGTGATAGGTAGTCTCTTTTTGTTGTTGTTGATGGCCTTTCCTCTCCACCCTCTTTCTCTTCACCACATTGAGACTTCTGACAAGGTCAAACAATTCATCTTTGTTTCTATATTTATACCTGGGAAGCTCCCTTTAGTAGCATGACAGCATTTCAGATAGGACGGCTTGACAAAAAACAGTAGATGAGAAAGCTCTTGGTGCAGAGACCTGGCCTGGTAAAATAAAACTTATTTTTAGAAAAATGAAAACAGCCCAAGTCTTCATACAAAATAAGCACCCACAAGCTACAGGGGGATTTCTGACCACAGAATAAATACTGCATCACGGCTCCACAGAATAAAAGCTATCCTAGACAACACTCTGTACATTGTCTTGCCAGCTTGTTGAAACAGAAAGACACGAAGTGGCTTTGTTGTATATTTTGCACTCAGGACTGCAGTGCAATAGTAAAGGCTAGTGCCAAAAGAAGGCATGAAGTGCAAACGCAACAAATGAGGGATAACCGAGCCGAAGAAAGTCAATAAACATTAACTGGAAGGAATAAACCCAAGGGCCAATGAAAGTAGCCCTGTCTAGTTGAATGTATTGGTTGAATATATTAGAAAATAAGTGAAAGACACAGGCACAAAGAAGGGAAACCTGAATGCTGATAGTACTTACTGGCAATACGGTAATAAAGGGATCAAGAGAACTGAAATAAGTTAGCAAGGAAGTCCTGAAAAAGAGGGAATTGTAGGAAACTAAAGATGGAAGTGAAGATGATGGGTTAAAAAATGGCTATTAAGTATTTGAAAGCAAGTGCAAAAAATAGTAATGGAAACCTGTCTGGGAAAGCAAAAAGTACATCTACCAGCACGAGAAAGGTGGACAGCATGCTATAGCAAGAGTTGTTGTAGAAAGATGGAAGGTTAAATTAAAGGAAACAATAGCTTCTCTGAGCTCAAGCCAGAACGCTGACTGCTCTGTGCAAGAACAAGTGTTTGCTTATGAAATGATGTGATGATGTGCTTATGGTGTGACACTATCCCCAGGAAGATTAGTGTCCATGTCAATTAAAGCTACACACAGACTCTGGAGGAGCACAGACTTTAAATTTCAGTTCTTTGCTACTCTTCTTTATATTTACATTCAGTGCATTATCTTATCTAAAAAGAATGAAATTGCTTTAAGGTCAAGTAGTCCAAATGTGGTTTTGGTTCAGAAGTATCACAGATCATCTGATAAAGCAACCGTACAATAAATAGGTGCTTGCTACAAGGAACGTCAGCTTGTAAGTCTACCACCTCCAATTCATTAATCTTCCTCTGAAACTGCACCTCCCCAATTTTGATTTTATACTGATTCCCACAGCAACACAGAATTTAGAAGTGCACATGGTGACACTGTGAGCAGCCTGGGTATCCCAATTTCATGCACAGAGGCTGTATAGTTTCTTTTCATGAAAGCCTTTGGGAGGAGTTTTAAAAGTCGACTTTGAAAAAATCTTGTCTTTCATAGGCCATTTGGGAAGTGCAGCTCAACCAATTCTGGATATGATTTATAATCATCTGGATCTGCTTTAAGCTACCTCCACAGGAGCAGTTTGCTAGCAGGTTCTCTCCTACCTGGGACTCTGTAAGGCATGGAGGATTCACAGCCATTTCCTTACCATTGTCTAACCCACCCACAACCTTTCTATACCCATAACCTACAATCCAAACACCTGTAACCCTTGTCAAGGCAGTTAATGCTGGGTGATGGTGTCAGCTGCACAAGCTTTGCCTCCTCGTGGGGCTTTCTCTGAGAGGGTCCTTTGCCAGACCAATAGTGCAGGTTTCCTTTATCACATCCTTCTATGGGGACCGTAGGAACAGTCTGGAGCTGATCCCTGAGAATTTTCTTCTTGTCATTCCTCCAGTGGACGTATAGGGTTGAGGGGTTTTTTTGCTATGAAAATGCCACACCACCACCACCCCAATCCAGTGACACACAAAGTCACAGCTTCAAAGATAACATTTTTCCACTTTCCTTTCCTGCTTTGCCTTTCTGGCACCAGGAGAAATCCTTGGTTTTCAAATGTTGTTACCCTTCAAGAGTGAATTGTCTGAATCTGTTTTTCCCTGTTATTTATTTGAATTCTAACAGCAACCGACCTCCAAATGTAGCACAGGTAAGAAAAGCTGTAATAATACCACTCCTGGGCATTTCTTTGCATTTGCATTAGTAAAGTGGATCCATATAAGTTAGTAACATAAGTTATTCAATGTCAGCAAAACCTCAAATATGTACAACAGAATAACCTCTAGATTAGAATCATGTTTTTCACCTGATTGCCAAGTTGAGGGATTTCTCCTGTGCACTACCAAGGGCCATTAAAATCACTTTCCCCTTTGTCCTTTTATCCCTGACTGTGGAGATTCATTTGAAAATACCTTGATGACTCTTATTCAGAAAACTTCCTTATCTAACCATATATGAATCACTTTGAAGGGAGCCACATTTCTCTTAGCAACCAAAGAATCAGTCTTAGCAACAAGACAGCTGAAGAATTTTGTTTTCACATAGTTACTCGTGGACAGTACGTTCTGCTTTCTGCTTTCCCATGGCACTGCTGTTTCAGTGTTGACTTAGCGTTGTGTAGGCAATGGTACAAATCAGACACTTGCTCATAGCAAAGGCATCACTTGCAGGGCAAATGACGATCTTTCTACCTTTGATGCTATTTCCCTTAGGAGAGAGTGCAAGAGTACTGACTACTGGAAAGCTCAAAATTTAAATTTTCCCCATGACAGAATTACTACAAAGAAATGTGTGAGGAAGCTGACAGTTTCCCAAACCTTGACTTCCCCCACAGAAACCATAGTGGAGAATCAAAGTATTAGCTCTAAAGGCTCACACCTCAGCCTCTCTTAACATCTGTTCATGTTGAAAACTGTTAGAAAGGCTGAATATAAGGTGACTTCCCCCCCCAGATTTTCTTAGCAAGAATAACTTTGGGAGAAATATTATAGTGGGGAAAACTGGGAACATCAGAGCAATTGCCATTTTGGTGATAAGCTGGGCTGATGTCTTCACAGGACTGTTGGGGAAGCTTCCTGAGGAAGCAAAGCTAAGATGGCATTTATGAACAGAGCAGTGCTGTAGTAGTTTCCATCTCTCAATCCCACATCCGTGTAAGGAAATGAGTTACCATATGTACTTTGAGCCTATTAAGAAATTCAAAGTGCAGGTAGAAATAATAAATGCACTCACACCTCACCCATGCTCCTTCTCTGTCTCCTGTAGGAGCTGCTGGCATATTGCATGCCGGTTTGATTCCCCCACTTGTATTCAAATTGAAGACCGAGTCAGAAGGAATCCAGGAGCTAATCCTGGATACACTCTCCAACTGTCTGCATCTGGAGGCTTCTGAAGCTCTAGCAACTGATGCCGTTACTATCCTGAAGGAAAAGCTCACACAGCCATCAGTGGCCATCAGAAGCAAAGCAGCTCGGGTGCTGTTAGAAATTGGGTAAAGAAATCTGTCTATAATACTTAAGCCCAAGAAAATAATAATTCCATGAGTGAGTCAATATCATTAGTTTATAGTTGTGTTCCATTACACATTGAAGCTGTCACATTTCACACGTAAAGCAATACCAGCCTGAACAGGCACATAGGTAGAAGATTTCTAAAAATCATAACTGCTATAAATCACTCAAGAAAGAAGATGCTGATGAGGAAATGTCATTCCTTCTGCTTCTATTTGCCTCCAGTATTGGCAAGGAAATCAGGATTTTTTTTTTCCTGGTACAGCACTGCAGAGAAAGAATTCTTGCATGAGAAATCATATGAAAACAAGATTCTGACCACTATGGAGGCAGGGAGAAGCTCCCTTATATATTTGGACAGACACGCTCTCGCAAAAAAGTGAAAGTCCTGGGAAACTCTCAATATGATTGAGGACAGAAATAGCTTTCTGACACATGCTGCTACATATGTCAGTGATGGATCAGAAAAAGCAATCTTTGTATTGAATTTGTGTATCAAAACCTGGATGAAAGGAACAACTTAAGTCCACTGTCCTGCAGTCACAAAATATAATGAGTGCTCAACAGATGTCTAGTTTAACAAGGTCTGCAGAGAAAACAGTTTACCTACCAGTTGGCACAAAACACTTCCTAATGTCCTATAACAAAGCCTACTCCTTATAGGAAAAGAAAGAGAACATAGGTAAAGTGAGTCCTAGAAAGAAAGCAGAAATGCTCCTAGAGCATGGACATCAGCTACACTCTAGGTCCCTGCAGTAGCTGGGCCATGTTAAATATCCCCCGCATTAAAGAGGCTGGAAAGAAAGAAAATTTACCTGGGAGAAGAATTAATTGCAGACTCCTAATTTAGCAGGTTTTAAAATCTGTATAGTGTTCAGCAGCCAGGTTTCTTACTGAATTGCCATTAGGACCACCAGCACAATTAATCCGACATCCTGTTACAGTGGAGATTGATGGGCAACAGCACATTTCATAGAAAGTAAAAAAAAAAAAAAATCCAAAAATCACCTGAAAAATTGTTAAGCCCACACACATAGGTTAATATGATATCAGCAAGTAGATTTAATAGACACCAGACACAAACAGACATCCCCTTTCTTTTCTTGGTGGCGGCGTAGTGGTGCTTGTCATCTGTCTGACAGTCAGAACACTGTGACTCCAAAGAGAACAGAGAGGAGGACAGGGTCAGCCCCGTTGTCATGAAATAGAGGAGGGCTGCAGGGGTCCGGGCGTGGGGAGGGGCTGTGGGCAGCTGCATGGTTAGGAGACGCAGTCTGAGAAAGCAACTTAACCACCTTTTCTGCACAGTACTCATCCAGAGGGAAAAAGCGTGGTATGTGAAGAAGTTATTCCTGTGCTGGTGAGCCTGTTGGGAGATGCAGATCCTGAAGTCCAAGCTAGTGCAACAGGAGCACTGATGTTCGCTACTGTTAAGCCTCAGGGTAAGAGACAGAGGCGGTTCTGTTGGGATACTTTCCGTAAAGCCAATTCTAAGGCAACTTAGTAACAAATACCACCACCACCCCACCCTCTGCCCCAAGTCAACAGTTTCTGGTAGTGTTAAAGCTCTTCAAGAAACTGTAAGATTCGGAGATTTCTTTAGATCTGTCTCAAGCAACTATTGTAGCTCCCCCATAGTGTCCCCAGGGGGGACAGTATATTTCACATTTTATTTACCTGAAATAGGTCAAGAAGTTACTTATCTACCCTGCCTGCATCATTTCCCTCCTGAGTGCTGCTCCAGAGGGGGACCGTTTTCTGTGCCAGTCCAGACCACCCAGAGATGTGCATACCTGACGCTACTCTGACTCGCTAGTCCTCAGCAGAGGAGCACTACTTTCTGGAAACCCTTTTTTTGTGGTTGGAGGCAGTTTCTGTCTCACAGCTGGGAGAGGAATGAATATTAATAAGGTCTGTAGTTCTCCCAAGTAAGTTACAGACACTGAAAATACTAACTGCTAATTTTTCAGTGTGATGAATGAGTAATTAGACATAAAAGACTCTTAATAACAGCAGTTGTGTTCCAGTCCTCCTCTGCAAATGTCCCCATGGCTTCTGAAGAAAACACAGGAGTGGATCTCAGTGTCTGAAGTGTCTTTAAAAATAAAAGAATGGAGGATATTCTTAAGGCCATCTAACACACACACAGTAGTTTATCCTATCATTCAGTGCCTCATATATTCTTAGATAAATTGTTGCAAAGGAAATAATAACGTGGAAAGCAGATAAAGTTAATGAAGAAAGATTTTTCTTTCTGAAAAGTAACCAGCTGGCAGGTAGCTTTGGTCTTCAAAAGAAAAGCATGTCCTACCTCTTTGCACTGCTCCCTCTGGGGGTGTCCAGAGCTGTAGCTGGGCAGGAAGTAGAAAGCAGCAATTCAAAAGCATGTGGATTATGTGTAATAGCACCTTTTAAAGCCAGTTATTTCTCTACAGGGAGATTCTCAGCCCTAGGTGCTGAAGCCATTCCACCTTTACTGAAGTTGGTTGCTGAGGAAACCAGCAAAGCCCGTCTCAGTGCAATCAAAACCCTCACCATGCTGGCTGAGCTACCAGAGGGCCGCAAGACGCTCCTAGATCATATAGATACATTTCAGCAGTGTCTGAATGATCCCTGCGAGGCCATGAGAAGAGCTGCCAAAATTGCTATCAGTGTCATCCAATGGAAACCTTTCTGAATACGTGATGTTTCGTAGAGATCTGTTGCCCTCTGTTGTTGTCTGGCTGTAAAAGTTGTGTAATTATACGAGACCTTCAAAACCAAACCTCTCTTCCTTGGTTACTCTGGATCAGTTCTTCCTGAAAAGTTATTTGTCACCAGTTTTACATTTATATTACAGGTCACAAGCAGAATAATGGGAAAAAGAAAACTTAGCAAGTCTAGAATTCTCTACTGTGAGTTATTTCCTGAGCTATCAAGATTTTCCTGTGATACAAGAAACCGATCCCTTTTGTCTTCTTAATGTTCTCTCCTTCCTTTTTTTTTTTGAAATCTCAGCCTATCAAATATTAATCAATAACTAATTATATTAGAAAGGTTCGTAATGAACCTCTCCAGCAGGCGCTGAGAAATTGACCTAGCAACAGGAGTTTACATTAGTTTTGCTGCAAACATTTGTTGAACATGGGATTAGAACCATTTAGAGCATCATCACTGAAAAAGCAATGGCAATGTCACAGAAGGGCTTCCCCTAGAGAATTATGAGATTTTCCCAGCCTAAAATATAACCAAATACTTATCAGCACAGTTCTAACAAATGGAGTTGCTGACAAGAATCACCAGCAGTGAATCTGGTGGAGAGGGACCCCGCTGCCCTGGGCTAAAAGCATCTCAGCCTAACCTTGCCCCTGTGATGAGCTCTATCCATGCGACACTCCAATACCCCCAGCTAATGACTTCGAGTAAAGTTTTAGTAGCAGCCCTTGCTTTACTTTGCAGCCCCCTCTGAGCCACGCTGTTGCTGTATCTGTCAGCAGCCTCTCCCTGAGCCTTAGCTGCAGTGATTGCTCCCATGTTTTTAAGCTGGTGAGGGTCTCAACAGGCAGGTTTTCTCCTTCCGTGTGCTTGGATCCAGGCTCAGGGATGCCATGTGCAGTTGCCTACACTTAGGGTAAAAGGAAAATAAGTCAGAAAGACTTTACTAGGGTAGCCCTTGGTAAAGCTCTGTTGGGGGCCAGACCCTACCACCTCTGACAGAAGAGGGGTCTGACCCCTCCCTGAAATTTGTTATAGAATTGAACAAAAGTGCCTCTGTGTGCGCGCTAGTACTTGGCATTTTGTGGTTTTGTACTGTTGTAGTCTATCCTTTGAGTACAAAAATTAAAATTATAATGGAAATGGAAGTATTGTGCCAGAACTGAAGAGTTTTGCCATCGTGGCTCACTTTTGAGGGAGATGGAGGGGGTGAGAGGAAAGCTGATCCTAATGTTACGGTCTAGTCCAACAGGAGTTAGATGATCTCCAGAGGTCCCTTCCAACCTCGAGTATTCTATGATTAACAGCTGCCTAAACAGAGAGATGAAGAGATAAACAGAACAGAGAACTGAAAATGTTCCCTATTTTAGAAAAATGTTTCTTCTTTTTTTCCTTCAAATAACTCAACCATTTTTCTTAAAAAACCCATAAACTTTAACTTCATAGAACTGAGAATAACAAAAAATACAAGGTGTCTGTAAAAGCAAGCCTATCCAAAAGACATAAATTGCCTGAAGGAAATATGGTAGCTCCTGTGTTTAGAGCTGATGGGCAGTTGAAATGGAGGGAAGTTCCCTAGCATTTTACCCACTGTGTAGTCAAGGCAGGTCACTACAGTTACGTTGCAAATTTCTCTGTCTGCAGTTGCAACTGTATAATTGAAGAGGCATCAACAGAAGGCCTGGGCAAAGCAATAAAGCAAGCTAGCAGGACAAATCCTGGCCATTGTCAGTGACCAAGAAAGTTGCGATAGTGCAGCTGACTTGGCTTCCGAGGGAGCCCCGTTGGTTTTCACTCAGGTTTTGCTCTCACATGGTATTTTTATATCCAGAAGTTAGAAGTTGTAGCTACAAAGAAGCTGCATCATCTGAATAAAGGAGTTATTTGTCAGGGCTGCTTTTCCATTGCAGAAACCCACTGTCGCACTACAAACCGCATTACCCTTATACAAAGCATAAACTTATTCTGTAGGAGTGATTAAAGTTAAAAGGTTTCTCTTCCATAACATAACCAAAGGGTGAATTTCCTCTCCTATAAAGATGTGATTTAAAAGTATTGAGTCAGTTGGATTCATTCCTTCTGGGCAGGATCTTGGAGGAACTCTGCCTTTTAAACACACTTTACATACATAAGGCACTCATACGTAATATCTATCAATGCCAGAGTGCATCCAATTCAATAAAAGAGAGCCAGGCAGCTTAATAACACATTAAATGGTCAGTAAAGGACTAGGGAACAACAGAGAACAGTAGGTTCATCTACACTTACAAAACCGCTGCAGGAAAATGCAGTAACAATGATCATTTTAGCTCAGTTCCAAACTTTTGTCACAGCCTTCCCCGGTAATTCAGGTATCACACTTCAATGAGTTCGCAAAATAATTAGCTTGCTCAGATGTAGAAGTACGACCATCCAGACTGCACTGCTCTGACTAGAAGAAATGTAGCTGACTTGGACCTTAGGAACTGCACATCCTGGGCCTCTGCCTGATCAGTGCTTTAAAGACTGTAATATAAACAGTTTCCGAATAAGGCTCTGCATGGTATCAACATTCTTGTCTGACATACATGAACAATACAGAAATGGCATAAAACCTTAACTGAACTCTGAAATATGGATGCGAGTGGTACCCTTTCCACACGTCAGCTTTTGTCTCAGCATCCCTTTGGCACTATGACATCTGACAACAAAAAATATGATATTCCAATCACAACAATGCTTCCATTTGGCTATATTGACCACGTACTGCCTATATAAGCACCAAAATTCAAAGTCTGCATACAGAACAGCCATGAATTTTTTTTTTAAACTTCTAAAGCTATATTTACTGACAAAAAGGTTGCAGATATTATCATTCAAATTCACATGCTCAGGTGTGGTGCAGCTTGCTGCAGTTTGTTGGAAGGACTGCAGATGATAAACGTTTGCAGGAGCACAGCACAACGTATGGCTATGGCGGCAGAGTTAAGCAGCCTTTGTGAAGCAGAGAACGTGAGCTAATGCAGAAATAATCCCAATTATTGCAGAACACTGTTTTGTAATCTGTGGTGTTCCTAGGGGCTGTGTTACTGTGGCGTCCAAATGTTTGGTGTCTCCTGCTGGATTACAGTGCAGGAGACTGTAGAGCACAGGCACAGTGCAGCAAACCCCGGCGCAGCGTGGGAGACAAGGAACAACGCACGGATCTACCTGATCGAGCAAAGAAATACCACACTGTCTCCTTTGTAATCCTGACTACATGGAACCTGAATTACGAGGTAAATTTTTATTCTACAAAATAATTTTGCAGGGTATATTAAAATGTAACACACACTTGCTCCCACAGTAATATGCTGATTCCTAAATCTCCTTCCTAAAATGAACTTCTCAGCCACAGTTTGACATCTGAAATGTCCCTTCACATTCTTCATAAAGACCTTTGAAGTCTCAAATGTAATTGAAATTAGCCAATAGGTAAAACTCCTAACTAAAGATCCCAATCTGTTTTTTTTTCCCCAGGAAAATGTAGACATGTTTTCTTTTTATGTTATTTGGCAGGAAATAACACACCCTCTTTTATTAGAAGATATAACAAAAAAGGAAGAAATATAATTTTATAGTGCTTATACTACAGGCCACCCATATATTTAGTAACAAGGCACAAAACCTTAACAGTTACCAGGATGTCCAATAATTTTGGGGATCATTTCAATGTATTTCTGAATCTCCCTGTTAAAGCAGTGGCTATAAGATGGGAGATGAGAGTACAGCTCTGAAGTTGGAAAATCAAAGCAATCACAAATAACTCCTTGAAAAAAGCTTTCGCAAGTAGAGAAACCGATGGTGAAAAAAGGAAACACCCAAGTTGACCCCAAACATATTTGGAAGGGACACAAAAAACACAGTCACACACACAGAAATTACAGGGTAAAAATAATTGAGTAGAAAAGTCTGGATTTTTAGGTTTGGAACTCTCAGTACCTCTTATTCATTGTTAAACCAACTTTGATTCTATAATTTAGCAAATAATCATTTAATGAATTTTCATATCTAAAAAAATATCCCTATGATTAAGAATTTTCTTTTTCTTCTTAGGTACACTGAGTCTTGAAACAAAGGAGAACAAGACGTACTCAAGCTACAGTAATGCCGATTTGTAAATCAGGTTGGAGTTAACCCACGAGATCCTTTGGCCCTAGCAGTATTTCAGCTTCTGTCAGTTATTACTTAACTACTGAGTACAGTGTTGTCCTTAAGACAGTGCACAAAATGAAAAATGCATCCTAGAATTCTTCTAGTACTGACATTCTGATAAAAAGAAAAGGTCACCTGTCTGAGCAAGTCCAAGGGCAGGGACAGTCTGGGTCGTGTTCCCCATGAACCACACAAAGAAGATGACAATACTGATGTTACATGATGCTAAATGGGCAACCTGCCATACCAGAAAGTTTTCTATGGACTTTGCCTCCTTTCTCCAGGTAGGACATGTTTTCTGACCCAAGTCACAGATTTAGAGATGCGCTTGATGGCTTTGCAGTTGTCTTGGTGTTAAACATTCATTCGACATGCAGCTAAGGACTAAGGACCAGGGAAAGTACCGATATATAACACGTATGGGGAGTGCCACGGCTGCCTGTAGCTTTGGAATGAGACACAACAGTCCCGAATTTGTGAGGCTGGGCAATGAATTAGCACTCTCGGTGTCAGTAAAACAATTAGGTGGATCAAAGAAACCCAGCTGGTGAATGCTTCCCCTTGGACTGCCTTAGGTTTCAGTTGAGTATACTCCATAATAAAGCTGCCACAGACCTGGTCACAAGAATGCTTAAGATCCTTTTGAATGGATTCATACATGTTAGAAATACTTAAATTAATATCTCAGGATCTGGCGCTCTCAATATACTGTAATTAAACTCATTGTTTCAAATGAAATGCTGTGTACACAGCAGGTCTTTGGTTTTAGCGCTATGTGCTCCACAGTGCTCTACACTATGATGACATGAG